TGGCCCTGCCAGGATGGGAGCCCCTGCATTGCCATCAGCTCTTCCCTGAGCACTGAGCACAAATCACTGCAGCAGGACACAGCAGCAGCAGGGGCAGCTGGTAATGAACTGCTCTGGAAATGTTCATTATTTGAAGTGTCCCAAGCAATCACACAGGTCTCAGCTGTTTGCTGTAATACCATTCATTTAGGAGCAAACTGAATTTGCCAACAACAGTGAGAGAAGTACCTAAGTACCTTTGTTAAACATTGTGCAATTTAAAACTTCAGAGCTTGCTCTCTGTGATGTCTCTGCTGTTCTAACCCAACAGCCTTGCCTTGAAAGGTAAACTGAGTCCATTTATCAGTAATGTTGAAATTGATAGAATTGGCTGAGCATGTTAAAAGAGCCTTGAAAAAACCAAAAACTAACAGAGTTTCAGACCAGCTCAGTGCAGTCAGCATGACTGGAGGGTGTGTATTGTTGTATCTATCCCAGTGGGAAAACTTTCCCCAGTTCCCCCAGTAGTCACAGCATGGACAGTGGTATCTTTATTATCTTTATTTCCAGAACATGCTGTGTGCCATCTGGCAGTGGAGCAGGGGCTGCAGTTCCAGCATGTCTGAAAGGAAGGATTGCAAGGCAAGGAGTCCCTCATGTTCTGTGTAGTTTCCTTCCATTACATGGTTACTCATTTGTTCAATTGCCCTGGAAGTCCAGGAGTAGCTCAATCATTTTGGGAGCTACAGGGACATATTTCATCCAAGCTCTACATTAAATAGTGCAGACACAGAAATTAATGATGTACTCAAAGCCAAAACTAATTTATAGACTTTGGGAATTATTTCCTGCCTGCTGGATTTCCAAGCAAAAGCCAGTCTTGCAGGGAGAGGCAGCCAAGGCTGCTCTGTCTTGATCCAGATTAGAAAGTGTTTGGTGTGGAAAAAAAGAAGTTACACAGTATTGTGTGAGCTCCAGGCAGGCCCTTGTTGGTCCTAAATCAAACACAAAAGACATCTCCAAACTCAGAAGGGACTCAGAGGGAGTTTGTGCCTCCCTGGGCTCTGGGAATGCAAGGAGAGATGCTCAGGGAAGGCCATGAGAAGGGGAATTGCTTGCTGTGGCATTTTAAGGGATGGTTCTTGTTAAAAAGGAGAGACCTTTGAACAGATGTCTGCTGTGTTTGAATCACTATGTGACACCAGAGAGAGGAGGAGAACCTCAGCTTTGAGGTGTGAGGAGGGATCATGGACTCCAGGGCTCTCAGGAGTTTTCTCTTCTGCTGGTAATTGAGTAATTTCCTCTGTGCTCTCCCCTCTCCGGAAGGGATTTCTGGACCTGTTTGTCTTGGCTGCTGCTCTGGCTTCCACCAGTGAAAGCTCCATTTCCTGAATACCAAGGTCACCCAGAAGAAAAACCAGCAAGAGCAGCAGCTCCCATTTCAGAACAGGTGTGGGGAGGGAACTCCCTCTTGCCCTAAAGATTTCATTGAGCAATAATTTCCACATGAAGTATATTTACTATCCCAGCCTTTCGCTCCCAGAACTGGCTAAGCCTGTTTTTAAGCTAGACACTTTCAAGATGTTCAGGTTTTCTCATCCTGTCCTGATTATTTGCTTGATTTCATCATCAGCCTGGTTCAGGTTGGGAGTTAAAAGGCAGCACAGCAGGAGCTGCACCGTGTGGAAGGAGCAAATGCTCCCGTGTGAAAATATCTGCAACATGTGAGAAAGAAATTCAAATTCCTTATCAATGAAATGAATCCCTGAAGCCAGAGGGATTGATTTACATGTGATTGCTGCCTGCTTCAAGTCATGAACAGCACAGTGGTGCTGTGGAATCAGAGCCCTGATTACTTATATAGATATTTAGATGATATATGGTATATTTAAGGTGGGAGATCCCTGCTGTCCCAGAGCCAGATGTGTGCTGAGAGGGATCAGACACAGCAATGCCACCTTGGCCAAGTCACTGTGCAGATACCTTGGGAATTGAACTTAAAAATCCCTTTATTTGAAGAGACAGGCAATTCAGTAAACTATAACAGTAAACTGGACTACAGCAAGTGAAAATGGGCTCTCTGTAATCTCTTCAGCTGCTTCAGATGTTACATAAGCTCAGCAGCTTCTGTTTCAAAACAGATGTGGAGAAGGAAAACCTCCAAAGGTGTTTCTGAACAGATAATTCCCATGTCAAGAATATTTCCTAGCCCAGCCTTGTTGCTCCCACAGTTGGCCCGAGCCAGTTTTGTAAAAACAATGATTAGTTTATTTAGTCTGCTCACTGAAATCTCTTATCTCAGTCCTCTGGTTTGTTCTCTTGTAACCTCCACAGAAGAAAAAATGTGTGTTTTGGCTTGTCTGGGGTTTTTAGTTTGGTTTCCTAAGGAAACAGGAATAATGCAATTGTATTTATATGTATGTGCACATGCATGTTTCAAAAGCCTTTAGAGCCCATTGGCTAATTTCAACCACGTTTGACAGCAGGGTGTTGCTCTTAAAAATGTTCTGTTTGTACAAATTGCATGAAAATCAGGGAGCAGGCAGAAGAGACAAACCCTCTCTCTGTCCCCATTGAGTAAAAAGCTGTAGTGCAAGTCCAGCCCTTATCAGAATCACACTGTTATTCACCTGAATAGGAATTTATTTGCCTGCAGTGAGTGGGGGATGTTGTCATCTCAGGGAAGTACCACTCTAAGTAGCAGTGACTCCAGAGTGTGTTTTTTTCTTATCTGTAAAGTCCAGGGTGCTGTGCTCACCCTGAGCTGTGCTGAATTTCATGATGAGCTCCTCCACAAGCTGATGTCCACAAGGAGGGCTCAGCCCCATGGCCTGCAGAGCTCTCTGCCAGTGCTGATGTGCAGCAGCAGCCAAGGTTAAACACATCCTTCTTCTCCTTATAAAATAGAGAACAAAAAATGCTTTTTTGTATGTGAATGAAACCAATTTTGGTCCCACCAGCTCCTGCCAGCAAAAAGCAACCTGGGGCTTGCTGGTCACTGGGCAAAGTCTGACTGTGGGTGGGTGGGTTTGTAAGCAGGCTTGTGTGAAGTTTGTGGGGTTTGAAGTATTTCTCATCACTGCCTTTGTGTTTCCTCTCCCTCCTGACTCAATATCCCCTGGCTGGGAGGGCCTCTCCTGCTGGAGGAGCAGGTTGCAGGATGGGCTCGGTGGCTTTGATCTTCCCCTGATCTCTCACCCAGTGCTCCAGGCCCTGCATATAAAATAGATTTTGGGAAGGGAGGTGCTGTGAGTGAGCAGGGCTGCAGCATTTCCTTCCCTGAAGAGAAAACAAGCTGGCAAGGAAGCAAACATTGCCTGAAACGTGGGAGTGGATGATTTCTTCCTGCTCCCAGAGAAGGGAGCTGTGGAGAGCTCTGCTGCTGGGCCTCTCCCAGGGCAAGCACTGAGCTTTGCACTGCCCAGGGACTGGCACTGTCACTCCCTGCAAAGAGCATGGCACATTCTCTGTCCTTTCCACACTCTGTGCTGCCACTTTGGCTGCCTGGTTGGCACTGGGAGCCTTTGAGTGCCCATTGCACAGAGGGAGGGGTCCCAGGGTGATGCCTCAGCCTGGCACACTGTGGGTGGGTCTGAGGGCAGGGAGCCAGGGCTGTTCTGGGCTCTGGGCAATGCTCTGTGCACACATTACTTCTGCATTTTGGAGTTCCCATTTCTCCCTGCAGAGAAGCAATTAACAATACAATCTCAGTGAAAAGCCTGATTTGGTTGTACAAAAGTGCATTCAGATTGTTTAAAAAGGCTGCTTTCCTGTCAGAGCCAGGACAGTCATACATGCTTGTGTGGCTCGTGTTGCAGCAATGTCCTGATTGAACCATGGCTTCCCCCTGTCATCCACAGGCACTGGAGGATGTTCTCAGGTCCAGGGGAGAGTGATTCATAGAGCTGGACCTCTCGGGTCAGGAACACATTTGCAACAGATCACTCTGAAAGTGACCTTTTGCCCTGGTAATAAGTAACAAGTGCATCCTGCCAGTGGGGACACGATCTTTGTCATCTCTCTGTTGTTCAGGCTGCTGGGCTGTGCACTCATCTGCTTCCAGAGTGCCTTGTTTGTTTGCTTGTGTTTCTGTGGCATGAGGAGTTCACACACAAGGCCTCATTGTGCAACACATAAACAGCTCATTAGACACAACGGGCTGGGGCAGGGCTTGGATGTCAAATTTGGGAACTGCTCAGGCTCCTCCTCCTGCTCCTAAATGCTTCTTGTTGTGTGTTTGTTGCAGGTGGTGACGTTTGATGCAGGAGGAGTGAGTGGCCATGCCAACCACATCTCCCTCTACAAGGCTGTCAGGTACAATGTCTGCACACTTCTCTGGGCTGGGCTGGTGCTGCTGAGGAAACAGAACCAGGGCAGTGTTCACTTCACTGTTCCCACTCAGAGCCAGGCTGTGGGACGTGACACTGGCTGGAGAAACTGCCACAGCTCTGGAAATAACCTACAGCATCTTTAGTGTTCCATCAGCTGGGGCCTTGCCAGACCCTTTCACTGGGCCCTCTTTGCTCTTCCCGTCCTTGATCCCACTAAAATATGCCACAGATCACTTTGCACTCTGCTTTGAGGAGTGTGGGAATACCTGATGCCTGAGCTGGTGGCTTTTGGAAAGTTCTTCACCAGAGGATGTTGCTATCTTGTCCAGGTGCCTGAATTTACCTCTCTGCCCAAGAACATTGCTCTTTCAGTGGCGCTGTCCCTACTCCCTTTTAGGAATAGTCTGTTAGTTCCTTCACCATTCTATCCCTTACATTTTGAGACCCTGTGTCTCCATATTGTGATGGTGAGGTTAATATACAGAAATCCCTTTATTAAAATCACTCAGATTTTGCTGGCAACACAGCCACTGTGTTTTACTTTAACCCTCTGCTCATTCAGACCTTTCTGTGTCCTAGAGAGATTTCCTCCAGAGCTGCCCCTGCCTTTCCCAGGCATGAGAAGAACTCTTTGCAAGTACAGCTTTGTATTTATAGCACCCATTTGTTTTCTGAATCATCTGTGCAATTCAAATAAACAAATTCTTCTGGCTGTCCTTGCTGACAACATCACAGTGATTTTCCTTCCTCACTTGCCTAGAGAAAGCTGCAGTGCCACAGAACTCATACTGGGACCTCTAGCTCCTCTGGGAAGATGCTGAGAGCTTTTGATGGCTGGAATTCAGTGTTAGAGAGGGATCGTGGCTTTTCCCAGCAACTTCTGGAATTGCCTAACGGAGGAGAGGGGGTGGGGTTAAAGCAAGCAGTGCTGTGTTAGGGCTGGGTGGGGAGGTGGGTTCAGGCACAGCTTGAGGAGTGAGCAGAGGCTGGGCAGAAGCTGAACAGTGAGAGCAGAGGTTGGGCAGAGGCTGAACACTGAGAGCAGAGGTTGATGACTGAAGAGCAGAGGTTGGGGAGAAACTGAACACTGAGAGCGGAGGTTGATGACCAATGCTCACACCATTGGCACAGAGGGCCTAAAGAGCTTCCAGCTGCCTGCAGCTCTGTTTGCTCACTCAACTGCTCTATGACCTACAAAGAGGAATGAAAGGCAGGTTGTTAGGTGTCCTCCTCCACCCTGAAGTGATCATGGGAAAACAAGTTAGCAGCTGAGTTATATATGAAAATTTTAAGGAAAAATCTTGATTTTGACCCCAGTTCTACTCTTGTCTTACTTTGTGGCTGTGCAGAAATCACTTTCCCACCTTCATGCTTTGTGTTTCCTGTGTGTGCAGTGAGGATCTAACCCTCCTCTTGTCTCAGAGCATGTTACCAGGAAATGCTCATTGTCTACAATTCCCTTGAAGCCAGAGCTTTGCATTGGTGCTCAGCTGGAGCAGAACACTCTGGGCTGATGAGATCCATGCTGATAGGGACACCAGAGCACGAGCAATTCTCATTAACTCAGGGCTGCTTTGTGTCTTGTCTCCCTTCCAGTCCTGAATCAGCAGAATTAATCATGGTAGCCCCATCATCTGCATGTGGCAGGAGTGATGCCGTGGCTGCTGAAAGGTTAAGTTTATTTTTAGTGGCTTGCTTGCCCTCATTATTTTTCAGTTTGTGTTATGGAGGAAGTAGAGCGTGACTGTATCACTCCTGACTCTCAGTGCCCTGATGAGTTCTCACATGTTGGCCAGTCCAGGCAGCTCTGGGAGCACAAACTGAGGCTTCTCCTGTGCCCCTGTGCCAGCAGAGCTCTGCAGAGCAGCAGTGGCTGCCCCTGGGGCCCCAGGGCTGCATGGCAAGGGAAAGGCAAACGACCTCTCCCCTCCAGGTATCATCTGCAATGTATTTATTAACCTTCTTTAAACAAGTCCTGCAGGGCTCTGCCTCCACTGTGAAAACTGGAGGAAAGGATGAAGCTGGTGCAGTGATCCTCAGCCCTTTTGGATGCTCCCAGTCTCTGGGGGACAGGCTTGTGCCCACTTCCATGAGATTAATTTCTGCAAGAGCAGGGCTGGAATGGGCTCTGTGACCCTCCTCACTTCAGGAGGTGCAAATTATTGAACAGCTTCAAAAGGAATAAAGCAGTTCAGGAAATGGTCATAGTGAGCAGATGCTCAGTATTGTCTGCTAAGGGCATAAATATTCTTCCCAGCGTCTGGAACAGAGGTTATGTTCAAAGGAGCAGGAGCTGCTCAGAAGAAATGAGCTCTTTCCCTTGCAGCAGCCTTCCTCCTGACAGCTTGCAGGAGTCCAGCTGCTGCTGTGTGCCTGCCTGGCCTTCAGATCTGGGAGGAACTGGGAAATGCCAGGGTTCAAGGATGGATTTGTTCTTCTGCAAGGGAAAAAAAAGAAAAAACAGGATGGGAGAGAAACACAAATTACTATTTGATTTCAGTCTCCCCTGGGAGTATTTCAGTTCTGGCTTCCAAGCAGAAAAAAAACTCAACCCAAACCCAAGAAAAACCCACTGCAGCAAAGCAGAGAGGACTGGAAGCAATCTCCTGTAGCTTGATTTGGCAACATCATCCTCTTTTATCCCCCAAAACAGGAGCTTTCCCTGTTGCCATGGGAGGTTGGATCCTTTACACTCATCCTCAAGGAAGAGCAGGTTTTGAGTGACACCCAGGTCACTCTATCCCCTCAGCATTTGGGCAGTCACAAGGCACTGTGTAATGAGCTTGGTAAATACTGTGTGGCAGGAACGTTGGAGAACCTCTCTTTGCTGCACTCTGAAATGGCAGTGCCTGCTCTGAGCTCACATGTAACATCAAGGTGGTTTAGTTTTGCATGAGTCACTGTGCATTTTGATTTTAAACAGCCCCTCTTGCCCAGGAGCCTGGCAAATGGGGGGCTGTTGGGTTTGTTGTTTGCTTGCTTAGGATGGAGAGGAATCATCTTTGTGAGGAGGAGGAGGGAGGACTGTACCACTTGTTTTCTTTAGTGAGCTTTCAAATCCATTTTATCCCAGCTAGAACAGAAAAGAATAGTCTTGTCTGCTTAGGGCAGAGCAAACTGAGTGGAAAATAGGAGCTGCTATATTTAACCACTGTGCATTATGTTGTTATAGCAACTGCATCCATAAAACTTCTATCAATGATGCCATATAAAAAGCTACATCAAGGAATCATTAGCTGAGCCTATTCTCGTCAGTTCCATTTGGAAAAACACCTCCCAGTCCTGCAGGATGTTTGTGAACATTCACCAGCTCTGTGGCAGGTTGTAAATGAGGCTGTGCAGAGATGATATTTGGGAGCTTTATCACTCAGCAGTGGGTTGAGATGCAGCCTGAGTGCCACCAATGCCTCATGGCACTGCCATGGCCCAGCCTGGCCACTGAAAGCCCCACTCCTGAATTACCAATGCCAGGGACATTGTGCAGAGGGCTGCACTGAGCCTCCTGGAAGGGGAGGGTTGGGTAAATGCCAGCTGCAAATCCATGGAAACAAAGAGGAGCAGTGTCCAGCCAGTCCCACTGGGTGGGAGCCATTCTCAGAGGCCACCAACTGCATCCCACCCCAACAAAGCTCAGTTCTGCTGCGAGCTCTTGTGGAATTTCCAAGGCCATGTCAGGGAGGAAGCTGGGTTTGGGTGATTGGCTTGATAAAAGTGAAGGATATCCCATTTACCATTTTTATTTGGTGCCTTCTTACAGTGTGGGGCTGGAAGATCTCTCTCTCCTTTCAGCAGCTACAGCCTGTGCATTTCTCACTTGTTTTACTGATATTAAAAGTCCTGGGGGAGCTTATGAGTGATGGCTGTGGTTGCAGCCAGACTGTCCCCATAAGGCTGAGACAGAATTGTACTCTGCTGTCTATCCCTGAGACTTCCCTCAAAGCTCTCTGCCCTGGCATTTATCCCATAGCTGGGTGTGGAGTTCTAGATTTTATCTCTTTCCTTTATCCCTTTCCCTCATTCCTTCGTTTGACCAAGTTCATTCATCCCAGTGCCCTTCCATGACACTGTTGAGAACCATCAGGATTAAAGCTGAACATGGAGCACCAGCACAGAAGGGATTCCCCCTAAAGAAGGTTTTTTTCCAAAGAAGCAGCCTCAGGGGGTGTCCTTCTCTGTGTCACAGTGAGGGGAGCAGTGACACTGCACATTCCTCTCCCAGACAGTGCAAGGCCCAAAGCACAGAGCCAGGACAGCTCTGGCAGCCGGAACATCTGGATTGTCACTGGCAGAACCATCTTTTGCCACTGCCCCACGTGTGAGCACAGAGAGCCTGAGCAGTATTGTGCAGAGTGCTCCTCCATGGTGTAGTTCAGGGTGCATGGAAATGGAACCAGAAAATACAGCTAGGGAGGGAGGAGGCATTCCAGAGAGCAAACATCCAACATCTGGCAAGGATATCCTTCTAATGTCTCTGTGATTCCTAGGAGACTGCCTGTTCTTCCTCCTTCACATCTGTTTCATCAGATTAATTGGGCAGATTAGAGGTTGGGATCTGAAATGGAGCCCCAATGCAGCTTTAAGACATCCATTCTTTGCCATGCTCTTCAAAACTCTATTTCCCCAGTGCTCCACAGCAGCCAGCAGTCAGTTCAGTGAAGGGTTTTGCCTCTGGCTTGGGAAACTGTTTGGAGAGTGAAGTCATTGAATTCAATGAAAACTTCTCATCAAACAGAAAATCACCCAACTGTAACACACCCTCGTGGACATGAGCCCCAGAGGAGTTCTGTGCTCCCCAGCACTGAGGTTTCAGCTCCATCTGGACTTGTTCCTTCTTGGGAGGTTTCTCTGCTCAGTGCCACAGAGGAGCTGACCCACTCACACCTTTCCTGAGCATGCCTGAGTGAAGACAGGGAATTTGGGAGCCAGCTCAGTCCTGCAGTTTGGGCCATTTCAGTGTTTCTGCTGAACAGATGGAGCTGGTGGCTGCAGAGCCTTCAAAGCAAGGCCTTGAGGGAGGAGCTGGGGCTGAGATCTTGCAGGGCAGAAATGGTTGGAGCCTTGGGATGTCTCATGGCCTTCCCAAATTCTCACTGCAGAGGGTCTCACACTGGACCTGAACCCACCACAGGCATTGCAGGAGAGGTGCCCTGTGACCACCAGGCTCTGGCACCTGGGCACTGGGCGGGAATGAGCCACCTTAGGTCACTTTGTGTTTAAAAAAGAATATAAAAAGTCTCTCCGGGAAGAAAAAACAAAACACCCACATGGAAAAATCTCCTGAAAAAGAGCCTGTGTTTTACTTTTTGAGATTTTATGCCAAACTCTTTCATTTCGACCAAACCACAGCAAGTCCAGTCTGTAAAACAACATTCCCAAAATGGCAACAACTGAGAGCTGCAACCTCTCCTCTACTTGGAAGTGTCCCATGGATACTCTCCAGCAGGGTGGAGATGGGAGTGAGAAGATGGATTTGGGAGAGGATTGGCTCATTTTGTGAACGTGTGCAGGAGGTAGAGCTTCGTGTTTCTCTCTCTCTCTGCAACCACAGAGAAATACAAATGAGCAAGGCTGCAATTCCTCTGCACACAGAGCTGGGTGGAGCCTGTTCCCAGGGCTCTGCACTGAGCCTTGCTGAGAATTGAAGCACTTGGATTGGGACAAAAAGGATGAGGAGTGATGCAGTTTCTTCATGCCTGTTCCTCCAGATGAGTGACAGGTCTGCTGGCAGCAGCTTTGAGGAGCTTTCAGTAACCAAACACAGTTTGTGTCTCCCTGAACCTTTACACAAGCACAAACTCCTTCATTTACTGCTGAATCACATTTTTCTTCCCTGCTGAAGATGCTCCCTGCTCCTCTGAATCGTTTCCACATGAGCTGGATCTCTCACTCCTGTTTCCAGTGACAGGATGGTTATTATTAGTTCCCTCCTGGAGTAGCTCAGGGCTTTGAAGGTGCCTCCATGGCAGAGCAGCACACCCAGAACAGACACTGGGCTTTCAGAGTTTGCCAATTTTCACCACCACTCACTGCTTTATCTCTCCAAGCTTATTCTAAAAGTTTCCCACCCTACTAACTGAACCAAGTGCTGAATCATTTCTTTGGGGGGCCAGATTCCATTTGTGGGGGAAGAAACCTCTGGCAGAAGAGCAGACCAGATATTAATGGAGATATTTAAATTTCAAGGCAACATTTAACAGTCTTTGTCAGAGTAAGGCTTGAGTGGTGGGCCAGGAGGGGGCCAAGTCACTGTTCCAAGGCCATTGTTTAGCAGGAAATGGCATTGCTCTGGCTCTGGAGCAGAGGACACCACTGGCAGGAGAATCTGTTTAAATATGTTTTCTGGTTGCTGTTTGAGTTCTGTCATGACCTGCATTTCTGGCTTGACTTCTGCTTTGTATTGCATTGGGTATTCATCACTCCGTGCTTCCTATTTTGTCTAGGCCTGTGTAGCTAATCCTTTTCCTTGAACTTAACCAACAGCCAGAGATAATCCTAGTTTGAAAGTGACTGGAGAAACACAGCAGTTTACATATAATGCATGTTTTATCCTGGCTGATTTACACATGAACTGGCACATTGTCCTTTGTCAGATACACCACTATTAGGTGATAACAATCTCTTTAAATATTACACAGGGTTAAATAACTTTTTTTTTATTATTATTTCCTTTCTCCTTTTGGCAAATGTTCCATTGTTTGGATGTCTTTTTCTCCTGGAAGAGCAGGGCTGGGTGTGGGACAGCCCTGAGTGCCATCTGCTGGAGACCTGCTGCTTCCCAGCCCTGCCGTGGGCCAAATCCAGGATGGCTCCAAAGCCACGAGCAGGGAAAACAAGAGAATTAAGAAAGGAATTGAAATGAACACCCCCTGATGTCCTCACCATCCCAGGGCCATTTGCTTACACTTCCTGATGGAAGTGCCACCACCATTCTCATCTCCCATCCTTGGTCCTCCTGTTCTGTTTTGCTGCAGAGACTTCCCAGGACAAAGTCATGAAGGGATCAAAGTCTTGGTGAGCAAAAAGCCAGAGCTGCTTCTCAGATGTCCCAGGGCCAGCCTGGGTTAGAAACAAAGAGCTGGTGCCCAAAGAAGAGCAGCCACTGAGACAATTCCCATGGCCAGCAGAGCCAGAGGTGCTTCCAGGGCTGAACAGCCTTTGGCAGCCTCTTGGGTTTCCCTTGGGAAGTCTGAGAGTGAATTTGATTTATGGAGCTAATTTGTGGTGTGTCCCAGCAGGCAGGATGAGGGCAGGAAGGGCAGAATAGTGTGGGGAATGAGGCTTAGCCCTGCCTGAGGTGCAGCCAGTGTGGGCTCCTGGAGTTTCTCACAAGTTTGGCCGTTGTCACTGGGTGTTCAATGAAAAGTCGTGGTTTAATGTGCAGGTTTTATTCCTGTTAAATCAGAGGTTGAGTCATTCCACTCAAATGTTGACCCCTTGTATCTCTTCTTTCACAGGTACCTGCATTCAGAGGGGAAGTTACCTGAAGGTAGGAGTCCATCACCGCCCCTCCACCCCACATCCCCACCCTGCAGTCCTTGACATCCCTGCTGTGTCCAGGTTCCAGCTGCCCAACTCACCCCTGCACTGCAGATGAAACCCACAGCTGAACTTTTGTCTTCCTGCAATTTTTACCAGTTCAGGCTTCTCTACAGTCACTTTTCAGTCCCTTGGGGTTGTCCTGTCCTGGTGTGATGCAGTGTCTGGCCTGTGCCTCTTGGGTGAATTTGAGTGCTCTCTCCAGGTCCCTCAGCTTAGTCACAGAGTTTTTGGTCACATCCTGCTTACAAACCTTTTTCCTTTTCTGTGACACAAGCTTCAGAAATGATTGCCCACTTAGCCAAAAATATTTGCATGTAGCAAGTTAAGCCTCCACCAAACTCAGAAAGGAATCTGAAATCTGCAGTGGCACAACAAACTGTAGTGGCTTCTTCCACCTGTGAGCAAGAATCTGAGAAATTCTCTGTACAAGCAGGGAAAGGAAAGAAACAAAGTACAGAAGGAGGTTGCTCCTTTTCTACAGCAGAGTTGCAGCTCTTATATCCAGCAAACAGTGCCTGCCCAGGGACAAATGTGTGGGACCTTTTTGAGCACAGAGCTGTCACTCAGCTGTTTGGACAGAGCATAGGAAGGTGGCTCAGCCAGGCCCACCCAGTCATTCTCCTGCTCCCTCAGCAGCCATCCAGGCTGTGTTCCTTTAATGCTAATTCCCAAATCATTGTAGGATTTGAATGAGTCACAGCAAATCAGTTTTAATTCTCTGCTAGCAGGAAGTTGCAGGCCTAATGAGACAGCATGAGCCAAGATGGCAGAATGCCCTTAAGCTGAGCTCTGACTCCAGTCCCTTCATTCCCCAGTTCATGAAAGAGGAGTGTTAGTGCCAGCTTCATTCCTGGGACCTTTCCTTTGTTCAGCCTTGGGCTGCAGCACAGCTCTGTGTGCAGCACAAAGGACAAGGGGCTGCAGTGGCTGATGTCACTGCTGGCTGTCAGGCTCCATCCACACTGAGCCACTTTCATGTGCTGCTCATGCAGGTTTCACTCTGGTCCTGAATATGGGCTGTGCCTCAAATCCATTCAGGTTTGACACAGACCCACATACAGAGAACATTTCCATTTCTCCAGCAGCATCAAGAGGCTGCTGGAGCTCTGTGCAAGCCTTGCTGCTCTGATTACATCACATCTGACATGACCTACAAACACCAAAGGAACGGGGAGCTCCCATGCTGCTGCTTATGCTAAGCCTTTCCAAATATAGTTCCAGTCTCATTGAAATTCCCAGTATTTATAATTTGATCTGGCAGGCGTGCAGGGCTGTGCACCAGAGGGGCTTAATGAAACAAGGGTGATGTGGGATTGAGGCTGTCTGGATGGAGCTGAAAGGCATGTTCAGGCCATGCAAAAGTGCTGTGCTGCTCTTGGGAAGAGGGAGCTGTTTGTGGGTGAGCCTGTGTAAGCCCATGTGATCAGGGAATCCACAGAAAATCTCCCTGCAAATGCAAAAGCCAGCTAAGCCTTGCCTTGCCTCAGTGATATGCAAATGAGCACCCTAAATATCCTGCTCTGCTTTCTAATGCCTTCAGCCAGCACAAACACAACAGGCTTTTTATAATCTGTAACCGAGTTCTCCAGCCCAGGCACAAGCAGTTGTTTCAAGGAGCCAAGAGAATGCTGGATGTGCTCCCACCCTGCCACTGGCCCTTCCAGCTACACCCAGTGCTCTTCCAGAAGAGCCTGTGCCTCCTTCCATCAGGAGCAGTGCAGGCCTGCAGCACACACAGTGCTCACTCAGGAGCTCATTCTAGGCATCCTTGCTGCCTGAGTGATTTGGAAGTGGAAAGCCAAGCTGAGCAGGCTGCAGGCTTCACTCACTTCTATTCTCAGCCTAATCCATGAGCTTTATTGATCCTGCCCTTTCTGCCAACCTGGAGAGGTTGCATTACACTGCTAATCCCATCCTGCCCAGGTCACAGGCACAGCAGGCTCTGCAAAGCTTCACCTGCTGGTGTCACAGGACTCCTCAATGGCAGCACTGCTCTCACCCTGCTTGGCAGGGAGCAGCCTGTCTCTCTGAACCCTTTTCCATCTCTCCCTGGACTGTACATTCCTTCCCTGCTTCATTTCATCTCACATTGCCATGCAGAACAGGCTTTGCTGTCAGCACATGGAAATCCTGCTTGGATCAGTGTCACAGAGGGCTCTCACAGTGCCCTTCTTTTTGGGGAGCTGGATGCCACCACTTCACCTGATCTGACCGAGGAGGGCCCAGCAGGTCAGAGCCATCCACACTGAAATCACTTGCCATGGTTTTGAGTCCTTATTGCTTATTGAGTCCTTATTGAGCTTTGGGCAATGAAAGGGTGCAATTGCTGCATGAATTAATATTTTTCAGGGGAAAAAATTGAGGAAAGGGAGAGCACATTTGGTTAACAGAGCAGCCCAAGCTTCAGAGAGTGGTGCCCAGCCTCTCTTCCCATCACTGTGAGTAGGAATTGGTGTGGCATTGCCAGAGTCCATTAAAGCCATCCAGGGTAGGAAAGATGTTTGAAAAGCAAACAGGTGCCCCTGAGAATGCTGACAGCAGCACTGTGCTAATTTTTCCTCTGAAGCTACCCCAGCAGCAGCCCAGAGGATCTCTGCAGAGCAAGGGGAAGAACGGTTCCCCCACTCACAGCACATCACAGGTTTCCTTCCACGTTTGCTGTTTGCAAACAAGAAATTCTCCAAGTGGGATTAAAGGAGTGTCAGGGCCCTTCTGTGAGCGACTGCAGCACTTGTGCCTGCAGAGCATCCCGGGGAGAGCAGCTGGGGCCGGTGGCAGCCCTGCCTGTGCCGTCTCTGCCTGTGCCGTGTCCCGGCGGGCTGGGAGCGGGACGGGGGCTCCGCTGGAGCTCAGGAAGTGCCCGGGCCGTGCCGCTCCCAATCCCCGCATTCCCGCACGTCCCAGCGCTGCTCCGTGACCCTGCAGAGCGCTGGGGACACGGCTCTGGGGACAGGAGGGGCTGAGGGCAGCGCTCCAAGGGATGCGGGTCCCGCTCCGGGTCCCTCCCGGCCGGCGGACGCCGCCACCTCCCGGCGGCTCCCGAGCAGCGCCCGCCGCTCCCAGCGCGGATCCTCCGCACCGGATTGTCCTGAATGCTCAATCCCTGCCCCACGGCAGGAGGAATCACTGCTGTGATGCTCTGTGTCACCTGCTGGGAGCCAGCTCCCCCAGTGTCCCCCTCGATGGACAGCCCTCTGCGGTGCTGAAATCAAGAGTTAGCCAGGTAACTTTGGAGAGTGGGAGAGGCTGTTGAAAAGTTGGAACAACACCCCTGGAGAAAAGAAAAGAAAGAAAGGAATTGAAAGATGCTGGTGATGTGCCAGAGGGGATCCATGAGAGCTTTGTTCTGTCTCTACTGTGTAATTTCACTGTTTCAGGGCTCACTGGAGGAAGTCTCATTGCAAATCGAATTGCATCTCTGCCCACCTGTGTAAACTGTGACTTTGGCCTCTTCTGTCAAACTTTAATACAATGTGGGAGGTGTGGAACATAATCACAGCAACTGCCAAGCCAAGGAAATCCCAAAGCAGCTCCCTTGAGAGCTGCAGGCTCTTAACAGGACCATCAGTAGCTCTGAACTCATCACTGAAGACAATTTAGCCATGGTAAAAAAAAAAAAAGCAATTAACTTTTGAGTTCAGAGGGATCTTTGAAACAGAAAAAAAAACCCCTACAACATCAGCAGAATCTTGAACCATGTTACCTTCACCTGCTTCATCACAAACATCTGAACAATGAATTCAGGAACTCTGTTAAAGTGTTACTGCCTGCCTGAGTTAATATTTTATTCCTGAGGCTTGTAAATACTTCTGTAGCTAAGAACTGGAGTAGAAAGATGAAATTTCATTTTGGTAGCTGAACCAGAAACTACTGTTTTAAAATTCTATTATATGATACAGTGTCAGCATTCAGAGAATCATCTACACCTATTTTTTTGAGCCTAATTATGCAGGAAGAATTTAAAACCACCCAGTTTTTGGGATATTCAAAGCTAGCTTTGCTTTCCACAGGCTATTACAGAACAATAATCGGTACAAAGGGTCACATACAGAATAACAAGCAATACAAATGGTCATAGATGTGCACTGGGCACAAAAAATCCTGGTGGGAGCATCAGAAGTTGTTCCCCTTTACACAAAAAGGATTCCCAAGGCCAGCAGCACAGGGAAGCTACAAAGAACTGCTGAGCCTGGAGAAAAGGGCACCTTACAAGAATTGCTGCTGGTTTGAAATATTTATCCTTTTCTCTGTGTAGGGTGCCGTGTGCTCGTGCTGGAATCAGTAAATCTCTTCAGGAAATACATTTCCTTCCTGGATGTCCTCATTTCCTGCCTCCTGCCTAGGGATGAACTCTTCATCCTCACAGAGGAGGAGACTGAACAAGCCAAGGTGAGATGAGTGGCACCTGCCTGACCTGTTTGAGTGGCTCATCCTCATTGTGAGCACTTTAGTCACATTCCCAGGGGGTGCCAGTAGTGTCATCCATGGGTTAGAAATGTCACTGAGGAATGTCTGCAGTGATTTTAGAGACATGGAAAAGCCAGGTTACCTCATGTCCTGTGTGACAGGACAGGGCTGAGCAGATTTGCAGCTCAGATAACCACAGGGCACTGAGTTTTGCACTCCCCAGGATGTAGGATGCATTTCAAAGGAAACTGGATCCAACACAGTATTCTGAACATGTGAGTGGCCTGTGAAAGCCTGGCATGACTGCATGCCAGGAACAGCATCCTTGATCACTAAAGATGGAGACAGCCTGTGAACTTGTGGCCCAAAGCTCTTCACAAGTTCCTTTACTGTACATTTTTAAACTATTTTGCTGCATAGGATCTCACACATTTACTCCACAGTTCCCTATATCAGAATCTGATTAGCAGCATGAAAATATTTACCCAGCAAGCAGTGCTGTTAATTCACAAATTACAGACTTTTCCCGCTTCTGAGGATGTTAAAAGATAAGAGTTACTTATGGAAACAGCTTGGATAAAGGTGGTGTTCATTATTCCCATGTATTTTTGTTCCTGAAATTCGACCTTTCCAGGCTGGTGCACTATAAATAGGCTCAGATGCAGCTGGCAGTGTGTGGTCAGAAGGAGCAGAGATGTTCCCAGACACACTTACCAGGTTCCTGCTTCCCAACATGTGAACACTTCCCCAGGCCTGAGCTCACGTGGGGAGGAGGAGTTAGAAGTGACAGAAGTGACACATGAAGTGTCCTTTGGAGCAGGACCCTCTGAGCGTCAGGCAACACAACAGCCTCGGGGCAGGCCCAGAGCTCAGGCAGCCTGCCCTGCCTCTCCCTGCTCACTGAAAACAGGCTGTGCTGTACATGGGCACTGAGCCCCACAGCAGGAGCAGGAAGTGCCCCCACAGCAGCTCTGGAAGGTTCTGTCATGCTCTGTGCCCTGTTTCTCCTAGAGAGCCATGCGGTGCCATCGCAGCCAGCTCCTCGGGTACCGCCAGCTCTACCTGCTCTTCTCACGGTACCTGGTGCTCAACTCCCTGCGCCTGCTCTGACAGGAACCGCCCCAGGATGAGCAAAGGATGAGCAAAGGATGAGCAAACCCAGCACTGCCCCAGGCCCAGGACTCGGGAAAGCTCCTGTGTTAGGCTTTAACAGGATGGGGTGCTCCTTGTGTGGCGTTATCCACGCTACAAAACCCAGGCTGGGTGAGCCTCCTTCTGAGCACCTTGTTGCCTGATACACTGAAAACAGGGTTAAAGCCTGGGAACAGGCTGTAGCTACTCTATATTCTCATCATAGAAGCTTAAATAAGATGAGAAATTTGGATTAATTTTAATTGGGAGCCAAGCTCCGGAGGATTCTGCATTGGAGAAGATATGGCACGAACTGTTTCCCCAACTGCAAGGACTGCTTGGCAACTCTCCCTAGGTGCTTTTGTTAGATCCAGCTATTGGGAGTAACTTTTCAAAGCTCATGCTATCTCCACAGATACCACAACCATAACATCTTTGTTATTCAGTCAGAACTTTAAAAATCTAAAGCTATTGAATAAAACACCAGAAATCGTGCAATTTTTTCTAATTGCACTGATGTTTGCTGTTGCTTCTTTTATACACATTGTGTTGCGGGCTCCACCTTCACTTTTACCTCCTGAAATATGAGCTTTTCTTCGTGATTCAGAACAGGGCTCAAGGTCAACTCACAAGAGTCTCAGCAGGACACAGAAATGAGGTGCAAGTGATTCTAATGAAGTCTTTTGTATTGTGATTTAAACTTTAACACAGCTAAAGGCAAAGTACCAAACCAGCAACCCTGGAGTGGTTTACAGAGCAGAGGCAGTCTGAAAACTGAAGGTCACAAAGGAATGAGACAATCAGCATAGAAAGATTTATTTAAGAAACAGAGAACAGGTAACAATAATTAGAGATTGATTTCACCAACCATCACCCAGGAAAGCCCAGACTGCAGTTCCATGGCAGTGCTCCCAAGGCTGCTGGGAGGGTGTGTCAGGGTTTTGACATATCTCTGATGGTCTTATGTTCCCTCACTGCTTTCTCCCACTCCTTGCCATTGATATCCTCTGTGATAATGGTCTGCACAGTGCCATCATCCAGGCAGTGGGGAGCGATTCCTGAAGAAAAACAGAGACACAGAAACCTACTTTTCATAAAATGTGGGAGATGCCTGCTCCACTCCATGGCTGAGGCATCTCAGGGAATTGAAAGTGCTAGTACTGTAAGGCTGAGGAACCTGGATGAGAATCCTGTCTCAGGAAGAAGCCCACACATTATAGGTAAGATTGTTTTTTTGGAGAAACTACAGGTTCAGACTGCATTTCCTTTAGGAACAAACTCTTAGGACACATGCTGCTCACTGCTGTCATGTCAGCATCCAGTGGAATCTTTATCCAAGGTTTATTTGGTGGTTAACTCTGGTTAGCACAGAGTTTTGTACCTACCATAACCATCAGGGTTGGAACGAGGAGTATAAAAGCTCTGAACACCACAGGTCTTGCAGAACGTGTGCTGGGCACGGTGTGTGTTGAAGGTGTAAGTTGTCAAGTTGTCAGCACCCTAAGGAAAGGAAAAGCACTGTAAATTTTCCATGGAAATAGATAGATTCATTACTTTGGAAAGATTCAATGTAGAAATGTACAATTTAAAATGCCACCTTCCTGTCTTTATTTGAGATACAGAGCTGTGCATTCCTGCTCCTTTCCTGAACCCCTGTGCTTTGTAAGGACACATGTCCATAACAGTCAGGCCTGGCAACTGCAAGAGCTCTAAACTAGATGCACTAACACAACCACCCCAGACAGCTTAAAATGCAGCCATTTCACCCAAATAGCCAAACTTAGGGCAGAAAACTGCTTGTTCTTGGCTCTGTGAGGGTAACAGTGCTCGTGCTCATGGCCATGCTCTTACTGAGTTCTTACTCTACCTTGAGCAGCTTGAAACGTGACGCTGGCACGATGAAGTGTCGGTTCTGTTTCTTTGTGCAAATGCTGCAGCTGTAAAAGGAAAAACAGACCTTTTCTAGAAGTGGGCAGGTTGTAGAGCAGCAGTCTGAGCTCTTGACAACAGAAATCCCACTGACAGCTAGAATGGCTCAGAGGAAAGTGGCAAAAGTGGATTTGTGGTGTCAGTGGTGTTTGTGAAGCACACCCATGAACAGACTGGCCCTCACAGGTACCCCAATAAGATATCCTCACACACAGTTCCTGAGGACAAAGTCTAGCCCTGAGAAAGCCACTTAATGGTTCAGAGCATGCTTGGGCAATTCTGCCAACGTTCATTACCTGGCAAACAAGAAAGTAAAGTCCAAAAGTTCACCCATGAACTGGAAGCAAACAAGTTGCAGGCAAAGAGGGGTCACAACTGAAACCAGAGACTGTTTTAGTTTGAGGCACATGTGGTCAGGGCTGTAATGTCACTTGAGAAGAACAAGTTAAAAAAAGACCACTGTGCTTTGAGCCCCCTGCATGAGAGGAAACAGAAAGCAGATGGCTGAGCACCTGGACTCATTAGATGTCTCCTGACACTTTCTGTGTGAGCCTGGCTGAGACACGAAGTCCTGCCCAAAGCAGCACCTGAAATCACCAACACTGATCTCATAGTGGATCAGGACATAATTAGGGCTAAATCCTGTGGAAACAGCTCAGAGGGTGTTCTGCAGCTGTCTCATCTTTAGCTCTAAGGTTGGAAAAGCAGAGAGCTGACATTTATCTCTGGGAACAGGGAACAAACCAACTCACTTGCAGTTGAACACGTGCAGATCTGCTGAAGCCCAGACCTCGAAGCGGACGGCTCCACAGTGACAGCCTCCAGTGTGCTTCACCAAACCCCTGTATTCACTGCAGAGACACACAACAGAGCTTTTGGGATCCTCCTCTCTTGGTTTTTGACCAAGAGAACAATAAGGCTATACATGACATTCATGTATTCATTATTCAGTTCTGTCTTGAGCTGTTGCAGAACACCAAGAAATATGTCCACTCAAATGTATTTAATAACATGTGTCAGAATGAGGTGGAGGATGGGTTTTGTCCTCTGCAGCAATTGCTTTTGGGGTTTAATTAAAATGGTGACAAGGAAAGAACAGCACCACTTTGAGGACTTTGTACAACCCAGCTCCCCACCACACTCCAGTGCTGACCCTAGCGCTGTGTCCACACAAACCCTGCACAGAAACCAGGGCTATCACCTCAAAACAAACTGCTTGGAACTGAGAACTGAATTTCCTCACAATTTTCCCCACAGTTCCTCCAACACCATTAATATTCCTCCATTTAAGAGCTGGGGAAAGCAAAGATTTGTGGATTCTACATAATATTTGAAATGTCTTTTATTTTGGGTTGTAATTGCAAAGGAACTTTATGACCAAGGAATTTCTGAGCCTGTGCTTCTCCCCCTCCCCGAGCCGCCTCCACAGCAGCTGGGCAGTCACCGTGCAGGTCAATCGCTAAATGCAAAAGAAAAAAACATTTTCCTTCCAGATTTTGCCTCCCACGGACGGCTCTGATGTGCACGGAGCGAGCACAGGAAATGGGTGGAGATTTAGCAGCTGAGCCTGGCGGAGCCCCCAAGGGCATTTTCGATGGGGAGCCGTAAAACACGGGCAGCTTTAGCACAGAAAGCCGCTTTTATTCCGTGGTGCGTGCGCCCCGTCCCCATCCCACCCCGGGGCCCGTTCTGGGCAGCTCTCGGGACCGCGGTGCAGAGAACGCTCCGGTGAGCGGGACTCGGGTGGGAGCG